CGGCTTCAGGTCACTGACCTGTCCGACAAAACTGAAAAGCACTTCGACCAATTGGAGCACACCGTCGAGCACAAGGCAGAAGCAGGGCTTGGGCAGCCGCGTGTGAACGGCTTGTTTCAGACTGACAGAGAGTGCCCCAGCCCGCTAGGAGGACGTGCTTGCTGTCAAGTCTTGTGCAGCAGCTTGCGCGAGCAGGATGAGAAGATCCATACACGTGTGGATGAGCTGACAGCCAAGAGCGAGGCGACTTTTCAGAGCCTGGTGCCGAGGTTCTTGTGGATATGCAACAGCACCACTGCATGGGTCACATTGGATGCAGCGATTGAACTCCAGCCACAGAATGAGGCATCGCTGAACGGATGGATGCAATGGTGCAGGAAGAGCGGGCCAGGCAAAGATGAGCAGATGCCTGCGACATATAATATAATATAATATTATATAACAATGTTTGAAGTTGAAAATAGTGATGGGTTCTTTTGCCTCTCGAGCCGGGAAGGCTTGGTCAGCTGAACCAAGACCTGTCCGAGAACACCATCAAGGTTCGCTCGGACCTGCATTCAGCCATCGAGCGAGTTTCTGGCTCAGTTTCTCTTCCAAAGGCGAAAGCCTGAAGACTCGCTGTTTCGTGGGGCTGGTGGGTCCAACCTCTGCTGGGGGAATGCCTGCTCCCCTGGAACCAACACCCTAAGCCTGCATTGCAGCAGATACTCCGAGCTCCACGCCCTGAAGGGAAGAGTTAGATGTGATAAGAAACCCGAGGTCCTGAAAGGAGCTGTTAGTTGCAAGACTCTGAATCGGCATTGGAAGCTTTGTGCCTTGAAGGCTAGCTGCCAGAACCCTGGGCTCAATTCAAAAGCCCTTGACCCGAGAGGAGATGTCGGCCTGCTCGAAAGGGCGTATATCCAAAATCACCTGGTCTGGCTGGCAGAAAACTGTCGATGCTGCGTGGACAACCTAACCCTAACCCCCGAAAGAAGATCTTATGGTGGGAAGGTGGGAACCCCCAAACGGCCGTGACCCTGAAGGGGTTGAAATGCATGGGAAGCCACAGGGGGATTGATAGGAAATCTGCCGTGAGCGTGTGCAGAAGTCTCCTCAAGGATGCATGCAAGAGGTTTTGTTTCAGAGTGCGCTGGGGCCAGATTTGTGTGCACCTTGGTGCGGCGGTCCCTGGCTCGTCGGCGCTGCAAGGTCCGGACAGATTATGAAGAAGAGGCAGCTCGTTTGGATGCTGTCAGCTACTCAAGCTTCCAGCAGTCGCATGAGTGATCTCACCACCGGCTTTTCAGCACAAGCTTACTTGACCAAATGCCAATGCATAAGGACCTGGGTGATTTGCATATGAAATACGATGTGGCCAAGCAAGAAATCAATTTCTTCCAATCGAAGCTGAAGGACAATGGGACTAAGAAACCGACCGAGAGCATGCCGTGCGTTTGGCGAAAAGCTGAGTTTTGACCAGCAAAAAGTCCGCGGCTGTGAGGAGCAGCGAGACTGGACGGAGAAGTGTCTGGCAGAAAGCGGGGCCGTAACTCGGGCAGCTGCCCTGGAGTCTCAGGCCCTTCCGTGAGAGAAAGAGAGAGAACAGCTCTTAATGATTCTAACGTGGACGGATGGGAGCCTATGAGCCGGCGCCGCACTTCAATTATGGCTGGGAGCAGCAGCCAGCAGCTACGATTCCCTATTTACATATCTGCCAGGAAGGACTGGCAGCGACGACGAAGATGCTTCATGCTCTGCGAGATGATGCTGCCCTGACCTCGCGGCAGGTTAACCACGTAAAGCGGTAGACTGGGCCTATTCAGGTGAGCTTCCGTGAGAAGATGGCCAAGTACATCAGCATTTTGCAGCACTCGCACCCGCCCCAAGCGAGAGCATAAGCATGTGAGGCGGAAGATGTGGTCTTCACGGGTTTGCAGCAGAAATAGCTGGAGCCATGGGTCATGTGAAAGGTCTGACCAGCAGGGTGAAGCCCTGAATTCGGCAGGGACCCCGTTCGACTCCGACCTGGACAGTGTTTCACATGCACCTGCCCTTGCACATACCTTGTTCCCAGTTGGAGATCCATCGCACATCGATGAGGGCAGAGCTGGATGCTTTGACCAAAGACCATCAGGCAAGCCGTACTGAGTCTAAATAGACATGCTTACAAACTGAAGGTCCGGGTCTTCAAGATATAGTGTTCTGTGCTGCTTGATTTGCAGGAGTACACTGGAGATATGGACAGCTGGGCGAAGGACACCAATGTCCAGGCAAAGACAAAGACTTGCTCGTATCACGAACAGCACCATCATTGCCAGCTTGCCGGGTGGGCTGGAGCATTGTGGCTTTCGTGCGTAACGGGGTGGGCAGCACAGGTTGAGCGACTTTTCCGTGCTCTAGAGCCCACAAAGGCTTGGAGTCACAGTCGTCCCTGCAACAATCAACCATGATTCAGTTAGCACCTCTGCTGCTCAGGTCGAGTGGAGAATAGAGAGAGCTATGCAGAGGACGAAGGCACCCACTGTTGCCGGTACCGCGACCTTTCCAGGGCCGGAAGAAGCTGGGGTTGCTCAGGAGCTCAAGAAGCCCCTTGCTTTGAAGTCCTCTTCTTTTGGCATCAAAGGCCGGACGAAGCTACCAAAGCAGATCGCAAAGGCACTGTGCATCGCTGGGCCATGTGTCCAGGCATTCAGGAAGGCTTCATGGAGTTCTATCCCGAGGGTAACAACCAGTCGCCGGAGGGTAAGGCAGCCACTCTCATATCCTTGCTGGTCCGGTCTGGAGAGAGTGCAGCATCACTAATCACTAGCAGAGGCGGTGCTGCGCCTATATGTTCCACCACAGGCGCACCGCCCAACGAAAGGTCGTTTTCCCTGCCGGCGTACATGACAGGCACACGTCCGCTACCAGTGCTGGGTCGGGAAAGACTCAGATGGCGCGAAAGAGCCGAGACCTTAGAGACTCGGAGATGCAGTGCCGAAGAACCGAAACCTATCAATGCATCCACACGCCTTTTCCACATCGCTTCCCCGTGCTGGAGGGTCCTCCTAGGTAAGGTCGGCAAGCATCCAGAACGCAGCAGCAGACTGTCTGTAAATCTCAAGCGGATCAAGTGCTTGCGTCAGGAGGCTTCGAGCAGCTTGAAGCGTTTCGAATGGTCAGCGATGGACGAAGTCACGTCACTTTGCACTAGGCGACTTAGGGATCTGAAGGCTTCGGATTTCCACTCGATGGTGTGGCCAAAGGCGAGCCTCGACGTCACTCTTTGCTCACTTTTGCTACCGGACTTCCGCGAAAACACGACAAGATTCGAAGCAGCGCATCAACACAGACGCCAAACTCAACGGAGAGATAGTCTTGACAAACCAGTGCGAAGCTTGCCATTGTCGGCTTGAGCCCAACTGCAGTACCACAAACAGATCGGTGGGTTTCAGCTTCCCTCCCTTCAAGAAACCCGTTGATCCACATACCGGCAGCGACACAACGGCAAAGTAATCGTGATGCCGGAAGCTGGACTCACGGCCGCATGCACGCAGGGCCTCCTTCCTCAACATGTCGCAGAAGATACCCACTCAGTCACAGGCGACGTATGCGAGAATCACACTCGCACAGAAACGAAGAAAGCATGGCCCGGAGGTCTGAAAGCACAAACAATGAACTCCTACCTTGGCCGAGTTTAGATGGTTCCAATTTGGCTTCGTGCCACACTAATGATGGAACACTGAGGCGAGCTCCATCGACGGATACTTTATATGTGGATATGTTCCTCGCCGACTGGGAGGACATGACGAAACGTGAGTTAGCACTTGCTCAGCGACTCAAGCCTTGCCTTGTTGACCTCATCATATGTCTGCCGGCTCTTTCGTGTCCTTTCATGTGGTCTTGTACTTGTTCCTTACAGCATCGTAACTTGTCTGGAGACCTATAACTGAAGCCCAGCTGTCTTCTTGGACACTTCTGACTTCTTTGAGTTTGTGGCCGCTGTCGCCCTGAAGGATCAGCTCACTGACGAAGGAGCAATAATGGTCATGGTGGAGGCATCACCTGTGCCAGAGGTTTTTGACAGAGGTTTTGCTGGATGTGTGGCGTCGTAGGTTCTCAGAGACTATAACAACGATGACGCGCTGCGTGCTTACTGGCTTGTGGGTTTGCATAAAGTACCAGACACATGAAGACATTGGTGGACGCGCACTAGTCTACCTTTCGAGCCTGAGTGTGCATACTGCATTCCACTTACCCACATAATTCAGGTCGCTGTCCAGAGAGATCCGGATCAACAGCGCCTAAAGGCACAACCCAGGGTGTGAGACCGTGTGAAACTAGCCAGGCATCTTTCCCAGCAGTCATGCTGTACTGTTGGCAAGCACTAGAAGCATGTATCGGTGCTTGAAACCATGCTGCGAGACAGACTCCCCTGAAGCCGACAGCCTTGGACTCTCAAAGCTTGGACACTTTTGGACAGGTTGGAAGCTTCCGGCTGCTTTCTCAGCAGAGTGTTGCACCAAATCTTGCATGGCTTGGGCTTTGTTGCAGTATAGACTACATGACGCCATTGATTTTCAGGCCGTAAGGGCCGTGCTGATCAGCAGCATATGCTCGAGGAAGTGTGCATGTTTAGCCGGTATTTCCATTCTGGCGGTTTGCCTTTCCACCAGCTTCACTTATTTATGGTCCGTTAAGCACAACAATCGTTGTAATGTAGAGTCAGCGCAACGGTTTCACCGTGCCTAATGCTTGGGATGCAAACGCATCGAGCAGAAAGAGGTGCACCTCAGCTTTCACCCGCCTGTCGAAAAAATCGAACCGAGGCGAGGGACGTTGTCTGTCAAATTGCCGTGCTTGCGTGAATATTGGCGCCCATATAGAGAAGGTGCCCTGAAAGGTTGTGGATCGGAAGGCTACACGGTATTCCCCGTAGCATCCTCGGCACGAAGTTTCTAGTAGCATCATCGGCAGTAAAGTTGCCAAAGCCTGCATGAAGCAAACCGGACAGCAGCACACAGCATGTGGCTTTTGCAATGGGCCGCCAGACCCCTAGTGCTGCACTGAGGGCTTCCGAGCAGCTGCTTTCATCCTGTCTTTGACAGGTCGTTTCGCACGTGACGGAGAACCAGAACCCGAAGGAGAGCCAAAGGAAGATGACGAGGAAACCTATTCAAAAACGAACGTGATTGCTGAAACAGCCTGCAGCCCCCGCCCCATGTTGTCAGGCGCTCGCTGCCTGGAAGGCTCCCGCTCGTACTTGGTTCCCGTGCAACCTCGTGCACACTTCGCTGCGTTTTGTCCAACGTCCCATTTGGTGAAAGTCAGCGCAAGGCGCTTGACCGAGACAAGAAAATCGAGCACTTGCTGAGCATTCCCTTGTCAAAGGAGTGCCGGTGGCATGAGCCAGACATACGATGTGAAGGTCGATTGCAATGTTGCTGCAGGATGCGAAGAATAAGTACCACGAGCACAAACTGAAGACAGAGCAGGTGCTTCTCCGTGAGGTCTTTCTAAGTCTTCCTGCTCTATACAGGATGCAATAATTGTCATCCTTTTCAAAAGTTACAAGAGACAAGCGCATCCACAGTCATGGCCTTGTTTTGTGCAGACACCTCTTAAGCTGCAACCATGTATGTCTAAGCAGAATCAGCCTCCTGTGAACTGCTAAGCAGCAACGGAAGCTCCACAATGCAAGGTTTGACACAGCAGCAGCCGAAGACAGACGACGGTTCACATCATTCTCAGATGCCCGAAGCAGAAGTCAACGTAAACTCTCGAGGAGCCCATGCTGGCCACGCGTTGATTGACTCTACATAGCTCCAAATCTAAACCAGCCGCTGGCCAATCCTTACAACCAGTTGGCTCAGCAAGGATCTGACAGAGGGCACACACTCACACACTTACTCAGTTGCTGGTCTGTGTGTTGTCGTCTAGACATCAGACGAAGTCTGCATCAGCAAGACAATGCCATAGGCGCTGCATTTGGGCAAGAATGTCGGCACATGCTATCCCCGGCCGAAGGCAGAAGTTGATCATGATGAGTGGGTGGTGAGCTCGTGCGCGCATTGATTGACTCGACATGTAAGCAGTGCCTGATTGCAAGGTTCGGCGCCTGGGAGGGCTTCTACAGTGTCCGGACCCTGAGCTGCGCATCAAACGCAGGACGTCGTGTCCCCGAATCAGAGGTTTCGACAAGACCCCGCCTGTGCAATGTCAAGTCCTTACCCGACAGTGCAGGCCCCGGTCTTGCTTTCTGTGAGCACAAAAATTGCCGATCATCAGGTGACTTGCTCGACCAGTACTTCATGTTCAAGCTTTGCAAGAAGGCCAGCTGTCAAATGTAATGCCCCCCTTGTATCGCTAAATTTGGAGTGCATCTGTGAGAACAAAGGTTCGAAGCATCGACATTCCTCCTGATGCTGTTATTCCAGAGGCTCTGCCGCAGAATCTACAAAAGGGGAATGGCACTGCCGCACGGCTCTGGGACATGGCGATAATGGCTGTGACGGTACGGTAATGCAGCAGGGGTAAGAGATTTGGAAAGGGGTTCAAAGATGCCAGGAGAGGGGGAGATTGCGTGAGACTGCTCTCAATGCCCCGCGGCTTGATGCTTCGGCGAGCTTCACATTCCAGCCTTGCCAGGGATGCCACGATCTCGCTGAGTCCTTGGAACTCTTCCGAGCATGGAGTGTGTCAGCTGCACTGCGTTCTGTCACGCAAGTCGGCCGTCTGTCTTGTGAGCACTGAGCAGCTCCGAGCATTCGGGCTGGAGACCACGATAGAGTACCAGCACTCAGCACTATGCCACTGCAAGTCTCAGGTGTCTGTTGATCAAGAGGAGGCTGCTGCATCTGAGGGGATGTGAAACATGCAATTCGTGGTTGCACGTGCACAGTGTGTGGCATTTGATTCTTGCTCGCATACCTTCGGCTGGCCGAAGAAGTTAGCAATGTCCCGCCGAAGAGTTAGCACAGGAGACCTTCCGACAACTCCATGGTCTACCGGGTCTCTCGATGAAGCCGAAAAAAGAGCTGCAGCAGGCGCGATGTTTGATCGGCGACCTGCGAGTCTCACGTTTCCCAAGCATAGATATTAGTATATATTGTGTATTATATATATATATAGAGCATTATTTACGTGTTCGTGTATAATATTGTAGTATTTTGTGTCATATCATATTTTACCGTTTTATAATCTTCTATATCTATAGAGATTCGATACCGTATATATGGGACCGGGGCGAGACTTGAGCAGGAACCGGAGAAGCTCGGGTTGCTTGGTAAGCAGTTCAGTCTACACAAAGCTGCCTGAAAGTGCCTCTGCTGGGAGCTTCTACCAAGACTTTTTGCTGCAGCAGAGCAACAAATTGCCCAAGTCTCGGAGCCCGGAGATGTGTACACAAAAAGCCCTAAACTGCAGCCTGCTTGAACGCTGAAGCTAGGAGTCGCTAAACAAAGTGGAGCAAGAGCCAATGCCTTAGTGATCGTCCTCTTTAAGGCAGTCCCGCCCAGTTCTCCTGAATACTTGTTGAAAACGTGAGGGTTTCGAGGTCCGAAGACGAGGTGTTGCAAAGGCCAGAGAAGAGGTCGTGGGCCTCGGCACCTTGTGCTCCCACCTGAGCATGCGTGCTGTGATTTGTCTGAAGCTTGAGGCCACGAGCCGATGTCTTCCAGTCCTTCGCGACGCAAACTTAGTAGCTGCACTGAGGCACTTCGTTGTGGCGTTGGTAACCTGTGCACATCCGACAGTTCTGGTGCATCTTGGCCGAGGAACTTGCAGCCGAGGACAGCACCAATCTCCAGAAGCTCAGGCGGGGGAGCAAGTAGAGAATGTATGCGGAAGCTTCAGCGACACGATGACCTTAGATGTCGCTCGTTGATTGCAGTGAATAGAGATTGTGATGGTTTCGCATGTCCACATAGCGTCACAGAGCATGCATAGCCAATGTTCACTTAGAAAGGTCGGAGAACGTGTCGCACGGGAGGGCTGGAAAGGAACGCCCTCCCGTGTTGCGACCTCCTTTGGGATCCTTTAGGTAGGCAATAAATTGCAGAGAATATCAGAGACTTGTGGATCTGACACGAAGGCAGCGGTCTCCAGCGGCCTTCAGTCAATGCGGACAATGTCTTCAGGGAATGGCAAGGGGCACCTCGCGGCGGAAAAAATCACTGGCCATACGCTGGCCATACTAATGTGCGCCATGGCCGCCGCGCCCCTGCATCTCAGTGGGTTCAAAAAGCGGCATGACGCTCCCATTCCAGTCGCCATGAGCCCAGCCCATGGCTCGCCCCTCGGGGCCATGACTGGTGTCGGCTGCACACAGCTGCTCTGCGTTGTCAACAGCAGATCATGCAGAACTGCCACGTGTGTTTGTGGGTTCGAAGGCGGGACCATGCCCTTTCATGATTGCATGATATTGCGTGAGGCTGACGCCTTGCAGCGCGGTCTGTATGTTTGTTCTTTCTGTATGTCTAGCCCGCCCATCCTGACCTTCCTGGTTATCTTGGATTTTACATCTGTCTATCTGAATTGCGTCTATCTGTCTTGTCTGTCTGTTTTGGTCAGCCTATGTATCTTGTCTGTTTCACTTCATTGCTTTCCTTTTTTGTTGTAACTTATCAATCGGTGCTCATCTCTTCTAGATCTATTTTCATAATCCACTATTTTTTCGTTTGCGTTAGTGGCCCGGAAAAGAACCGATGGGTTAGGTCCGAAAATTTGAGTATGTATTGGGAGCACTTCAATTGTTAAAATATAAGACATTCAGGATCGCGATACTGATCCATATTGAGCAATAATTTTGGGCACCGAAATATTCATGGAAGAATCTAGGTTACAGATATTATTAAATTGAAAATGTTGATTTATTTTTTGTATTATAAGTCGTGATATATGACTAGCAAAATATTAGAATACGAGAATTTGAACATTCGAATGATATTATCGATATATGAAAAAATATATATTGATTTTAGATAATGGCAAAAATTGTTTAAATATTCTATATAATATATTCTGAAAAAAGATTTTGGTATAAATACGAAAGATTATTCTATAAAGAGATTTTATGATATATTTTTTGTTGGAGCTTTATTTCTTTTTTAATTGAGAAAGATTTTTTAGTTTAATTTAAAGAATATATATATATATATTTAATTCTAAGTAAAGAATACATAGTTTACGAATTTAAGGTTAATTTAAGAAATAGAATATTAATATATAGAAAAATAAAATATTTACGTAAAAAATTCGGAATATGATAAATAGAAATTTGAATTTATGTTATTATTCTATAATATTTTAG